CAGGGTTTGGTTTGGTTTTGTCTTTCTTGTTGCTAGCCAGCATAGCGAAGCCAGAAAAAGATTCTCTTGGAGACTAAGCATTAGCACTCTGCAACTTGTGGATGCAGCTGATCAGTGAGTCCTTCAATCTGACCAGCTCCAGGCTGTGCATAGAGTCCCAGGGAGAGAGAGAGGCCACAGTGCTGTTCTGTGGCTGCAAAAACTGCAGACCCCCTAGCCCGAAGCGACTGTCCTGCTCTCGTCTCTTCTGAGCGGAGCAAACTTGAGAGGTCCAGTGTAAACTCTACCGCCTGGTTCTGTTTCTCCTCTTCTGAAGTGCTGCAGATACTAGTAGGGGACTCTGGCCGTCAAAAGCTGAAGGTGGTTATTAAACCACTGGTCTCTTAGCAGTTCCACCTAAGCTGGATTTGACCCATGCTCTTTCCAACCTGTCCCTCACTAAAGCATATATTCATATTCAGAATTTAATAATTGATGTGATCGACTGGGCTTGTTCTCAACTTTATACAAGCTCAGTGGCAGTGAAATCAGGGGAAATAACTGTGGGAAAAACAACAGTAGCAAAGAGTAGCGCTGGTGTTTGGATTCCCCCATCCTTCCCCTCTCTCTTTCCACATGGCTGGGAATGTTTAACCATGGAAGAACATTAAGGTTAAAGAAGAAGCACTAACTTTAAGCTCATGAGGTTGTGTGTTGATAGGATACAGTTCTTAGGGAACATTGTCCTGCAGTACCATAACCCAGTCAGGTAGTTTGAGAATCTAAGTTTCAATCACGGTTCAGGAGTTCCTTCCCTTCATGGTTTTAAGAACCTTACCATTATTATCTATCTTTCTGTGGTTTTCTAGGCTGTAGTTGACTATGATAATATTACAGTACAAATTAAATTCTGCCTCCAGTGATTTTCCCTAGATCTCATTTGCTGCTTTCCTGCACGGGTTATGAAGTGTCACAACTCAGTAGTACCAATTATTAGGTTTTTCACTTAATGGGTAGTTTTAATGTTCTAGGAGAACCCGTTTTCTTAACTTAATGATAGTATTTTTAGGCTGTTGCATAGCATTTAACTAGTTATTATTTGTTCTTCACTCTTTGAACATGTCTAGTTATACTGTTCTGGCATCATTGCAAATACAGTTCTACAATCTAAGTAAAGCAGGCACTTGTGATTTCATGGATAGTTTCAACTTTAAGTCTTTATTTTTCCCTGTGTTTAGTTCTAATTATATAACATTTCTAGTGACACTTCACCATTGGCAAAGCTCCCATAAATTCAAAAGTTTTGTGAGGTTAGAGTCCGTGAAATATGCCACTAGGAAAATATTTTATATATGTCAGTGTGTTTAAGTGTGCTTTACTGACACTCTGCTTTCAAGACGTTTTACCTGGCGATACCATTCACCCTTGGTTAACGGTGGACATTTAAGCCCTGGCTGTGCAAAGGAAATTTGCCACTCCTATCTTTTAGGGGCCTGCTTCCAAGTGTTGGATTCATAAATCTGAGCTAAGCATAGGAGCCAGGTTAAGGAGAGGCTGGGCAGGGACTACTTTCCACCTCTTCTGCCAAAGCTGCAATTCTCGATCTTAAATAGAGGTGATAAAATTCCACCTATATGTCACGTGTAGATGCCACGTGTTTTCCAGGGGTCTAGACGTAGTTATCTTTGAGATGCCAAACATGATTCCTGCCCCTCACATCCCCCCTGCCCCAAGCCTGTTACACAAATCAGTGTGTCGGTTTAACCTGGTCTGTCCATCTTCTCAAATTGTTAGTAGGCGTGGCTTAGAAGGGCAGGAGGCAGGTTATCCCTCAAAGCTTCAAGCTGATCTCTGGGCTGGATCCCTGCTGCAGTCCTCCTTGCCCCATTGGTAATCTCCATGTCTCTGGATCACCTCTGTTTAAGCAGTGAAGACAGTGACAATACAACATTTGTGGGCTTTGGGATGACTACTTGCTCATTCGTTTCATATTTTAAAACTTTATGTGATTGTAATCTGTGCCTCTTTCAACTTCTAATTATTTTTTTTTCTTCTTCGAAATAGATTTTTTTCCCTGTGTCCCAGCTCAATTCACAAAGGAAACCAGGTTTATTCATGCATTATGTCTGGGGTTTATAGACACATACAACAGCGAATTAAGCTAGCATGGCTGAAGCAGTTTCTACTCATGGCTGTACATACTGCCTTTCTTTGGGAAGTTAGTACAACCACCGTGGTGATAGCTGAACGGGATGTGCATTTGTTCCTCCACCACTGTTTATAATCTGCTACATTAATGTAGCCTGACATTGGTTTAATTTACAGTATAATATTGGGCTGTAAACTGCAGCTATTCACAAGTAGATTAATTTCCCATCCAGCCACCTCTCCAGTGAAGGTGATAACCTCCAGGAGCTCAGCAGGATACAGCTTCAGTCAGTCCAATGTAATCTGCTGTCACATGTGTCAGCGCTCTCTGTACATCCACATCCCCATGGTGACCTCTGCGTTTGCTGGCCACTCAGAAGGTTGACCAAAAAAAGCTTTGGCTGGAGCTCACGCTACACCATAAGATAAACAAGTGCTTATGAGTTAGGGGCTCACACGGAGGTAGTCTTCAGTAGCTTTTCCTTATTTTAGTGTATTGGGTAACTTGGTAGAATAGAGCTTTTGGTCATTTACAATCGAACCAATTACTTCACTTAGGAAAGAAGACATTAGATCTACACAGTAGCTTCTCTTCAACAAAAATGTCATTGCCATTTAGATGTTATCTAGATTTCCTGCATAAGAGTTGGAACAGAGCCAAACATTACATGACTCCAGGAAAAAATATTGCTTTAAAATTTTACTTGGCTTTTTAGAGGATGATTTACTTTTTATGAGGTGAGGAGAAAAAGGAAGGAACTATGTGACAGAGAAAGAGACAGAGAAAATTTTATATTGGGGGTATCTGATGAAAGTCTTACAGGGTTTTTTTTTTCAAAAAACTAATTTTTTTTTTTAATCAAAAGTGTATTTCATTATGTTTGCCGTATCTATCAAACTACGCTGAAGGAACAACAATACATACATGTATACAGTGATGCTGGCTTATATCAGAGCGCTCTGTAAATTCCCCTTGAAATCATAGGTACACTGTGTTTGTATACCTGACTGCAATCTCCATTTTCAATATTGGGCTAATTTACTTTCTCCATTGTTGTCTTATCTCCATTTTGGATTGAGGTTCCCTGGGAAGGGAGAAGGTGCTAACCGTACAGAGTGAGTGACAGGCTGGCTTATTTTCAAAAGATGCTTCATAGCACAATAGGATGGGAGCAGCTTTTGAAATCCCATTCATTCTGGCTTCTTGACACAGGCTTGGGGTCTGCAACAATAAAACGTCACCTGAGATAGAACAAAAGGCCAGTTGTTTTAGCACAATCCTTTAAAGCTGGGGAGAACAAGCAAGGCAATCTCTCCTAAGAGAGGTTGCTTTTTTACCGAAAGAGACCACAGAAGAAGAGAGAGGCTTTCTGCACAAGAGGAGGAGAAGCCATGATTCAATAAGTTATGTGGTGCAGTCCCATCTTAGAGAAATCCAGTCTAAGCCTAGAGAGTACCATAACATGGTGCGTCAGTCACATGCAAAAAGCTGTACCTATTTTTCACGTGTTCCCATGCATTTCTGGTGAATGCAAAGGGATAGAGCAAATTAAACACAAAAGTTTGGGTGCATTTGCTGTAGGCCTTCCCATGCCCCTGACCCTGAAGACTGAAGAATCATGAACTGCTAATCAGATGGGAGCTCTGGGCACTGGGGTGCACTGAGCTACTGGGCAATCTTGGTATCTTAATAGTGGTCCTGGGCCAACAGACCCTGTGCCTTACGGTCCTGCTTGTGTAAGAAGGACACTAGGTGCAGTGTTTCCATATGGGAGGAACCACAGTGTGATAGTAGTTGTAGTTTAATCTGCAAGACTAAAATTAATATGCACTTGTAATACATAGAAGAAGTGTCGTGGTTTAACGTCAGTCGGCAACTGAGCACCACGCAGCCGCTCGCTCACTCCCCCGCCCGGTGGGATGGGGGAGAGAATTGGAAGAGCACAAGTGAGAAAAAACTCGTGGGTTGAGATAAAAACAGTTTAATAATTGAAATAAAATGATAATTGAAAAAAACGATAATGATAATAATAATAATATGATAATAATAATAATACACAAAACAAGTGATGCACAGTACAATTGCTCACCACCCGCCGACCAATGCCCAGCCAGTCCCCGAGCA